AAGGGGGAGTTTGAATTACGTGGATTATTTCCACAATGTTGTTTTAACTTTTCTTATTTTCGAACTAAATTTTAGTTATGGAATAAATAGTGCTTAGTGGGTTAAGTATAGTGCTTAGTGGGCTAAGTAGTGCTTAAGTGGGTTTAATTGTGAATATTATTCTAACTCCTTAAACTAACCCACTAACCCACTAACCCATGTTCTTGAGTGCTCTTGTAGTTGGTTTTCTTGCAGATCATGGGCTGAGGAGTGGATGCTTGGAATGCCTATAAATACCGACTTCAATACTCAAGGAAGATTAATCGATTCTACGAAATAAAAACCGAGGGCTGAAGAATATTCACGAGAGTTTTAGAGTGGTTTTAGAATCGGTCGTTTGTACTCCTCATGAGTACAATCTTTACGTACTCCTTATGAGTACATTCTTTACGTACTTCTCATAAGTACATTCTTTGTAGTCTAGATTGTATAGTATATATGTTTCTAGACTTGGTTGTAAGAATGATCAAGATAGTGATTCATTCATAAGTTCTTTACGTACTCCTCACGAGTACATTCTTTGAAATCTAGAATTTTTAATATTTTTCTTTTAGTATCTAGATTTGATTGTAAGAATGATCTTGAAAAAGATTCATTCATAAGGAAGAAGTTTTCGCACCTCTTCTGTTTGTATTCTTGGAATACTGATTTTAATATATTTTTCCGTCCTGTAAAGGGCAAGTTCACAAGTCTTTACTTGTGAACATTTTTAATTCTGAGTACTGTCTTTTAATCTTTATATTTCCGCTGCATGTTGTCTCAAGTGTCACAACATTTCAGATAACATCTCTGTATAATACGAATTCGGGACCATAAATTCTTTCATTTTCAAACAAATTTGTATTCATTTTCCGACTCTAGTTAGAACTCAACTCATTACCGGTTTGTTCTATGTTACACCCGATGGTTGAAACGTAAATTTCACTATACGAATTATGATGTAACCTATGAATTAAATATTTGTACACTACAACATCTCATTACAAAAAGAAGAAAATATATTTTCAGCAAAAGTGAAATTCATTACAGCAGAATAATTCTGCCAACATAAATAAAAAAAAAATTAAAAAAAAAATTAAAAAAAAAAAAGAGTTTATTAAAATTTATATGTCCCACCTCTTCTTGACATGGAACATAAGTGCAGGAGATTTGATATGATCTTGATGAACTTGGACCATCACTTGCACTTTCATCTTCATCGGAGCTGTCTTAGCTTTCCCATCTTCTTCTCCAACCTTAATTCATTGAGTTTTACAACTTACTAAATATATTCAGAATTTTTTATTATTTTTTTTGAATAATTTATGTTCTATAAACGAGAAACTTACCCAGAGAGACGCCCACCCGAGTCGTACTTTAGTATCATAACCAGCTTTTAGTTTGTAGTCCTTCCCCATTGTGTGTTTATACACTGCGCTCCAATCGTTTGTATCGAAGTTGTACGAGTAGCTAACCAAAGTAATCCATTGCATTACATATTTTACCATCGCATAATAAACGATAGAATAATTAATTTCGAAGGATGGAGATATCACCTCAACTTGTCCGTAGGAGTAAATCTTCGCTTAAATGCGCATAATACCTCGTTCGAAGGTAGGCATATGCTTGGAATGAATGTCATTTGCTCATCCTAAATTCATACAAGGTCGAAACATTTAGCGTCTAAAACGATAAACCAAAATCTATATACTGCAAGCAATCAAAATTGATAGAATCGTAATATTCGCTAAATGAAATGATGTTCCAAAGAAATTACCTTGTATACGTATCTTAAATTCAAACTATCGTCTCTATATCGGGCAGTACAAAGTCCATCAAGAAACTGCCTTTTGACAATCGCATTAACAGATAAAGCTGTCCCCTGTTCCTCTTCATCCTCCGCTCTCTCCTCAAATGAAACTTCACCGAGAGGAAATTTTAGGGTTGCTCTCGGCTGAGGCAGGGAGAAAAGGGTAAATCAGCAATACAATGTTAAACCGGTAACGATTTATAAGATGGATTCCAACCCTTAAACTAATTTAACAAGAAAGCAAAACCGAGGAAAATAATTTCACCGCGCCAATAAACGGGAGAGCCGATGAAAGTTCCAATTTGTAGGCTGGACCTGCAAGATCTGCAACCATTGCAACCTCTCCTTGTCGAGCCTACAAAGTAAGAGACAAGTACAGATTACGAAAACAGCATAGATGCACATCACCAAATCCTTGCCGAAAGCCAACCAATTAGACAATAGCTCAACAAGTAATGACTTCCGAGAACCGATCAAGGAATTCGTCCGAGATTTTGACAAATATCGGAACTCGTCCGAAGTGTCTATATCAATTATCAAGTATGTTATTCACAAATCAAACATAAATGAAACTGCACTCGAATCAATTCAAAAATCAAGTAATGTTGTTAAGCATTCAAACAAAATATCTACACCATAAAATTAGCCTTTTTTCGTTCCAAACAGTTATGCTAACAACTAATTTGAATAAATTAAACCTCTTCAAAATCCCCAAATCAGAAGCAGAGAAATTGAGTTTCCTAAGTAAGAATTCAACAACACCTTGACTTCGTGCGCAGCCCTTAATTGTAGCCCTGGAATGATTTCAAACGACGCCTTAATCAGCGCATCGCTCTCCGCGACGTCGTATTGAAGCGACAGCAATTTCGAAGTGAGGTACACCTGCGGCTCCGACACTCCACCTTTGTCGTCGTTCCGAAAAGTCAGCTTCAATTTCGCCAAATTGTCGAATAATTTGCACGACACTTTGTTGAAGATGCCGAGGCTCTCGCTATCGTACTCCGACGTCACTCGCAGCTTCGGCCGATTCAATTGGAAGAAGCTCCCGAAACCACCGCCGGTTGTGACGGCGCCACCGCCGTCTGCGGCGGACGGTGGTGGAGGGAGAGAGTCGGAGTCGGTGTTCGGCTCGGCCATTGACGGTGAATTTTTTTGAGATCGTTTTTTCCTGATAAATCTAACTAATTCTAATAACAAAAAATGTGTGGGCTTCATAACATCCGTTGATTTTTTGAATCTATTTCCTTTTCACATTTTTTGTTCTCTGTTTAGGGAAGAAGATAATTATGCGTAAACGTACAACATATACTGCGCATGGTACAGTAAGTTGCAAGTCCATTTTTATTATATTTTTTAATATCAAATTAAATTAATAACTATATTGTATATAAAAACGGTAGATGTATGTTTTTTAAATAATTATATTTAACATATTACTAAATTATTAAATTTTTATTTGAAAATATATATTCAACTTTTTACAATTATTAATCAACTACTAACTAAGGTTTTAACTTTATTATAGTTAATAGGGTCAATTACAACTACCCCTGGGGTATGGTCAATTTACGAAAAAACCGCTCTTGTTTGGATAATTGCATTTACTTCTCAACTGTGATTTTTTCTTACATCCCCTTATGGTGTCAAATTCAACATAATCATCTAGAATTCGTGGAATGTGCATAGTTTGTACTCGTTTTGTGAAAAAATACAGTTTCTGATGCACCACAGTCTGATATATACAAGCTAAAAACACATATTATGATCATCTTGCTTCAAAATGTAGAGTTCAAACGGGATAAAATGGGTACAAAAGTGGCAATATTCCATATAATCTCGAAAATTCCACTAAATTTAAAACTGTAAGGATAAACGTGCAAGAAGATTTATAGTTGGGGGTGATTGTAATTACCTAACCAATAGAGGGGTTTTCGTAATCTAACCATACCTCATAAGGGTGATTGTAATTTACCCTAGTTAACTTAAGATTACCATACCTCAGGAAGGGTATGCTACTGAAGTTTAGTTTTTAATTTAAGATTACCAATGGAACAAATTAACTTTAAGTCTAAAACAAAAGTTACTCATATATTAAGTGATATAATAGTAAACATTATAAGAAGAATTGTTTTGAGTTTTAATACAAATGATATAATAATAACTTTTAACTCTTAATTACAATTACTAACCAATAAAAATAGTTAGTTATCTTTATTATAAATATCTTATATATAAAAGAAAGAAACGTTAGGATAATTTAAGAAACTCAATTATGGCATATTTGTAAAAACAAATTAATTCATGTGTAAATATAATTTTTTTACCTCCTATTTTGCAACTATTTTTTTATAATTACTTTAACACCAAATCCGTTCCGGTAATGTTTTTTTTTACTCTTTCACTCTCTTACACACATGTATGCGAATTTATTTTTTTAATACAATTTAATTAATATTTTATTTATTTATTTATTTTTTCATTTTTTGCAATCAGCTCCGTTGCAGGGGGAGAATTGATAACAATTGAACCATAAAGTAGCACAAAAATAAAAAGATTTTTATTTAACTTCGGCTTCTCAAGATCATCAAATCCCATGGTCCGATACATCAGCTAAACAGGAAAAAAAAAAAATGAAATCCATTGGACCTGCATTTATTTAATTTGGGAGATATGCATGCAATGAACTACATATAGCTTATTAAAATTACGGCACCCGTACCACCTTGGAAATTAATGGTAATGAGCATGTGTTTTTGGATCAGCAATAAGCATGCTCTGAACAATATCCTCGTACTCCTGTCGGAAAAAGGGCATGTCAGATTCATGCAAGTACACCCAAGCTTCGATTCCATCGTTGTGTTTAGTGTTCATCAATATGAATAGATCCTGTAGTGGAACATCGGCCAAGCTCACCCACACCGGTTTTCCGAACCCGAAATCGAGCTCGTACTCCCCAAATTTGGACCAATCGGTTATCCATATAACCTTAAAATCAGTGCTCGATGCTTTCTTAGCGGCGTCGAAATAGCTGTCGACGAGAACCCATCGTCCAAATTGTTTGTCGGACAATATTCTAGGGCAGTCTTTAACACCTTGCATGGTGGTTTCTCTCATTTTTCGAACAAGGCCTGGATATTCATCAACTTCGAGGCTATGGTTGGTTTGTTCTGCAGTATGTTCCAGGTAGGATAGCGAAACCCACGTGCCCCAAGCGTGCTTCGAAACTGGCGGTATGGTTCGTTCACGCACGTTGATTGCCTGGGCAATCAGGGAGGCTCTAGAAACGCCGCCGTTTTTGGCCCTGTCTGCGCGGAGGAGAGCCTGAGTCAGAACGGTGGACACCACCACCACCCTGGAAGGCGGACGGCCGGCGGAGGATCTCCATTCCGGGTTGGCGGTATCTCGGAGTGTTGAAATGGCGTTCTTGTCGAAGAGAAACCTCTCGCAGACGACGCTGGTATCCCGGGTCCTGGAAACCCCGAAATCCAGGGGGGGAAGGTTTTCAGACGGGAAGAACACCGGCGAGTCGAAGTCGGGCTTGATGACCGCTGATTCCCTGCCGGCGGCAGCATCTGCCAAGGCAGTCAGGAATATTCCGAGGGAGGCGGAATCGGAAATCCTATGGGAAGCGCAGACGCCTATGGCCACCCCTCCGCACCGGAACTTGTTGATCCGAAGCGCCAGGATTGGGTCGGTGGGCTCGTCGGCGGCGCCTATTTCGAGTGGGAGAAGGTGGTTGAGCTGCTCGGCGGCGGAGGAACCGCCGGTAAGTACTGTAACGAGGTCGCAGTCAACACTTGCTACAGAGAACTCAGCACCCTCGTCATTGCAATCAACCATGTGCTTATCTTTGATGTATCTGCCGGCGAGTGGGTAGAAAAGTGGCAGTATTCGAGCAAGCGATTCCTCCAAGTTGATCTGCAGTTTTCCGGCGGCAATGGCGGCGGCGGAATCTGGAGATGAAGATGGGTAGTAGAGGATACGAATGACATGCATAGATGGATTCAGCTCATCGATTATAGATATCTTGTAGCTTCTCAGTTCTGACGGAGTTGCCGTCACTGGTTTTATCATCTTCCGGCTCTCTACCTCCACCTTCATCATCTTTTTTCTTAATTAATAAATATATCTAGAGAGAGAGACTATATTATGAGAGAGAGAGAGAGAGAAAAAAGACGCTAAAAGACGGATCCTGAAATGCCTGGATTCAATTGAGGTGTATTAGAAAATGTACAGTGAGGCTATGCTATTTATAATAGGGGAAATTGGCTAGACACCCCTTATTCTGGATTTATATGAGTAGAGATCCTAATTGCTAGATAAATATAGGCCTAGGTCCTTTGATCCAATAAATTAATATAAATAAAATAAAATAATTAGTATATAGACATAAACACCCTCAATTAATAAAAAAACAAATCTCATCTATTCTCTCTCCAATCTCACGTTTCTCTCACCCTATATTTAATCACTCATTCTCTTCATCTGTATCTAATCTCACGCCTCTCTCTATCTCGTTCTTCTCTGCCTTTTTTTTTCTTCTTCTGTTTCTTTATTTTTTTTATGAAGAAATATTATAGAGTAGGAGAAAAACAGGGATGAGATAATTTATCGATAAAAGAATTAAAGAGGACAACAAACATCCCTCCCTTCTCCTAAAAAAATTCAGAAATCCATAAAATTGTAGCCAAAATTGCATTGTGTCTCCCGTATGTAGAAACCTTCCCATCGTTTGTTGTTAGCAATTTTCGTTTGCAGGTTGGTTTAACTTCGTTTGTTGTTTGAAGAATTGCGTTTGGTGTTGAGATCCTATTCCTCTGGTTTATAATTTGCAAGGTATGTCTTAAGTTACATTTTACAAACACTTTGTTTAATGATTTTGTTGTTTGCAACGTGTTTCATAAACAATTTTTTTGTTGGTGTTTTTAATGTTGATGATCTTTTTTCCAGTTTGCTGTTTGCATTTGGCGAATTCATAGGTAATTTTTTTGTTTGCAATTTAATAATGCAAATTCTGGAATTTTTTGTTCAGTTTACTGTTTGTATTTGACGAAATCATAGGTATTTCGTTGTTTGCAATTCAATACCACAAAATCTAATTTTCAATTTGGTATTTGCAGTTCACAGAATCATAGGCGTCGCGGGAAGTCCCAGAGTGATCTGTAGCGTTTTTAGAGTACGAATTAGTAATATGACCATGTACACTACCAAAAATGGAACGTCTATATTATAATGCCCTTATAAAAAATTAAAACTGATAAATTTTTGTAATCCCCCGAGCCATCATCAATGTGTATATAAAAAGAAATTAGTATATTATCCTTATAATTAAATTAGTATTTAGAGACAAATAATATATAAATATACATGACTATTGACACTGTAGTCATGTGTAGTATACTTTCAGTACAGTAATTTTTCCAAATTTTGAATTAAAAAAATTAAGAAATTAAAAATTAAAAAAATATAAAATTAAAGAAATTAAAAAAATTAAAAAAATTAAAAAAATTGAAATATTAAAAAACAATTTATAAAATAATACAATAATAATAAAAAAAAATAGTACAATATATATACAAGAATAAATCATAACATTATATGACTAGTAATGGGCGAGGGATGGATGATGTTGCACCAAATGTGTTCGATTTTTGGTATGCAATTGTAGTTTTGAGCGAGGAAGTTTTCGATTTCGAGGAGTTTTCGATTTGGGGGAGTTTTCATTTTTGTGCGTCTTCTTGAGCGATTTTCAGTGATTTGATTATTTATTTTTTATTTGGAAGCAGGTTTTTTAGGAAAAGTGGTTATTAATGCTAATTAATTGAGATTTACGTATAATGTATCCATATTGTTAGGGAAAGTGGATATTAATGCTAATTAATTGGGATTTATGTATCCATATTGTTAGGGATTTCGAAAATCATAGGTAATTGTTACAAAGCGTGATAATTGTTGGAAGGATAATATTGAGAATAAAATTTCTAAGGGGTTTATCACAAAGAAAGAATTATGGTATGGACATATCACTATTTCTTATCTAACTGAGGGGCTTATTGCTAATCACCCTTTTTTTTAAAACCCGAGTCCTAAAATTCATGAGAACCTCCTTTTGTCGCCTCCCTTCAGAACCGGATCTGACTACATCTATCCATAAGAAATAAAGAAAAATATTACTAATTTAATATGAAATTTGAGACGCCTAGATCAGAAATGTTTAAGGGGATGTTTGTCTTCATTTCCATACACACTTTCCAGTTTATA